TCATTTAGAGGAGTTAAAGACATTAGGCAGCAAGGCACTTCACTCTACTGCATGGACAAACTCTGGTGTGTTTTTGCATTGCTGAACAGATTTTGCCCACCATCTATCCTTTAGGTAATAGATCACTCATGGAAGAGGAGACCAACCTCTTCTGGATAGCAGAAATCAAGAGTGCATCTGCCAGCCTGTAGAGAAATCCTTTTGGGAAGCAGCATTTTCCCTTGCCTGAGTGGGACCCAAGCTATCTCATAGAGTCTTGCTAGGGTTAGATTAATCCTATATATAGTTCAGGAGAACACAGTATTTGTTTTGTCTTCTACTGGATGATAGATAGGGTGCTTTCTCAGCTAGCATTCTGCATCCTCCAGAGAAGGAGGAATTTCCATGAGCTGACAGCTATGCAGTTGTTGGGAGACCGAGCTGTCAAAGGATGATTCTTTAAAAGCCAGCTTTGGCAGCATTGTTGCCATGGGACATGGTACCAAGGAGCCTGGACAGCATGCAGAGGCGCAGGACATTCCTCACATTTGTAGTCTTCCCACGTGCTTTGTTACAATATGTTGCACTAGAACAATCAAGAACAACGTTTGGATTCACTTGGCTGAGCAAACAGATCACTGGGGAGGGAGCTGCAGGACTGTTACCATTTACCTCATGTGCTCCTACCTCCTCATCTTCACCATGACTTACATCCACTTCTGCCCTTCCTTCTCTACAGGGGAAAAGGCACCTGTTGAATTGTAAAAGGAGCATGGATTGGTTACCACAGGTTCAGATGACCATGACTGAAAATTGTTATTTTTTTCCCAGGCAGATTAGTACTGCCTGGAAATTTATGCTGAACTACAGTAGCTGCCATCTCACTTACAGTAAAGAATAGAAAGACACCATTTATTTCCCTGATGGACATCGTTCCCAGAAATATGCCAGAAATGGTATGCCAGGCAGGAGAGAAAGGGGAGACAGGGCTAGGATAAGTGCTTTGTAAACTGTTTTTTTTGTGGCTGCCCTGGGAAAATTAGACAATAAGACTTTTCCTTCTATCAGTCAGAGTTTTTAATAAAGTATGCTATTTTATCAGCTTGGCAAGAAAGCATCAGCTCCAGCAGTAGAAGAGAGGATGGCTCATGCCATTTGCACTTACGCAGCTATTGTTCAGTGGGTCTCATGGATCTAAAACCAGCTGCTGTGAGGTGCTGCAGGTGCTCCCATAGGCAGCATAAAAAGGTTGCCTGAAGGAAGGGTGGGATAAAGTCTTTGGTGAATGATAGCTGTTAAATTGGTTTGCATTGATACAAAGGGTATAATGCATGTGCTGTTTTTTTTTCTCCCCTTCAAGTCTTTTACCAAAACTATACTTTTATTCCCTAAAAAAAAGCTTTGAAAACGTGGTTTGATGCAGGTTAGTATTTTCTAAACAACCCAAGCCTGTTGCAGGGTAACAGGAGTTGCTTTTTAATATTTATCCTAAGTCTCCATTCCCCTTTTTCTATGGAGCCAGCTGACCAGCTGGCAGCACCCGCAGGTATGGCAGGCTGTCCTTGTCTTTCATTGCCTCAAAAGCCCTTGCAAGCTCAGCAGTGAGAGGCAATGACATTTGGCTGTAGCATTTCTTGCTTTCTTAGTTTGTATTTCCCATTTCTTCCAGGACCCAGCTGCCTGAGAATGAATTCCCAGCTTTTCTTATCACTTAGGCATCTGTTGCCTTGATTTGTACATGCTTCATGCATTTTTGGTGTTAACTTTATATGAAACTTGTTATAGTGGAATTAGCTTTTACATCCACAAGAAAGAGACTATGGAGAGACGCATATCTCTGTATGTCTATGTATGCACACGAGTCAACAACTTTGTGGTTTCCCTTGTATGCAAGCAAAGGGCAAGCAGCTCTTTTGCCAGCTTCCTTGGCAGTAAGATTAGTGCTAGAGACAAACAGATTAATACATCACAAATGAAGCTATGAAAGTGAAAGATTTGTGCTAGGCTTTTTTACTGAGTATCTTAATGTGGTGTCCTAAGTGTCAGAGTTAAGAAGCTATAAAACATGAAAAGATACACAGATTTACTTCAGTATTGATGTTTCCAAGGCTGGTGGCCATTCCTCACAGAACAGATGCGAAATTATCTTTTTTTCTTCAAAAGAAAAGCTGTTTGCCCCTCCACAGGGGAACAATGGGTAGGCGCTTCCACAGGAAACAGGTAGTATACAGGGAGTGACACCAGTTGGAAGGCTTGAGGAGGCAGTGGGTGATCGGTTTGTTCTATTTGAACTTGCGCCGTTCCTTATAACTCAGCGGAAAGGTTTCTGGATGCCTGTAATGCACCAGCTGAAAACAAATGAAGACATTGAGCAGTTAAGGTGCAGTTTAGAAAGGGACAGAACTCCTACTCCCCACGATTTCACTGACAAGTAGTGCCACCGCATACAATGGGGACCAGAGGCAGCACAGAGGGCACTGCCTTCGCCAGATAAACCAGCAGGAGATGAAGCACCCTTGATACCACCTAACTGTTGATGGTGAGAGAACGCTGAGCTGAAGCTTCTATGGGAATTCAATGTCTCTTTTCTGAACGTCAATAAGAAGACCAGAGCCTGTGTATCCGCTGTTAGGATCATGTACCCTTGTAGTGCAAAAGCTGTTCCTGATGTCCACTTCAAACGTCTCAAGCTGCAACTTCTGACTGATTTATCCTCAACACCTGATGAGAAGAATTTGTCTCCATTTTGTAACTGCCTTTCAAGTACCCGTAAGTTGTTATTAGCTCTTTCTTAGCCTTCTCTTTTCAAAACCAAACAAGCCTAGCTCCCTAAACCCCCTTCCATGCCATGTATTTCAGACCCCTAATCACCTTGGTCATCCTTCGCAGCCCAATGTCCAATTTCTCAATGTCTCTCTTGAGCCGGGAGCCACAGGCTGAACACAATATGCCAGGTATGGTCTCACCAGTATCCATTAGAGGAAGATAATAATTACTTACCATTTACTGGCCATGATCATCCTAGTGCAGCCCAATATATTATTTGTAGACTGTGAAACTAGTTTGTCGGTTCCTATTTCATGCGTACATATGTAGAGTTTGTACATTTGCAAATCTCTGCAGTTCTCCTTGTTGACCTTCATGGAGTTGCTGCTTCAGTTGCACTGAAGCCCAGGGCTCAGGTTTCACCGGGTTGGTCTAAATTCTTCCAGAGATCAGCATGATTCAAAATGAAGATTACCACTTCAGCATATTCCAAGCACAAAGAGCAAAAAGGTAGATCAAACTGAATTACTGCCGTTAAAAACAACAGCAACCTTCTACACATAACACAAACCCTTCTATCCTTTCCCCTGATTAGCAGGAATTCTACCAAAAAGTAGCTCCTCCCATTTAGTTCTATGGGAATCACACAGCTCTATTCAGCTCCAGGAAACTATGCCTAGTTACACCAGTAAAAGATCTTGTCCACCTTTTCCTCTGCTGTCTTGAAACTGGTGGGTACAACTCTTCTTTCCCCTCTCTTCTCCCCCCCAAAATCCTGAGGACTTCTGATGAGCTGTAAATTACTATTTGTTATGTCCTGCAGCAGTTCTGCACCGATGCTCATACTTCTGTCTGATCTGTTGATATTTCAAAATCTCTGTCATTCTACGTTTGATAGCAATTTATTATTTTGTGAAAATCCAACTGCTTTGGTTTTAGGAAGACAAAGAAACACTGGCAGCCACGTTACTGGAAAGGAATGAACATTGTCTTGATACATTGCTAGGAGAAGTCCATTCACATAGTGAATATGCTTGCCAATACCTTTTCTGACCACATAAATTCAGTTCTGTTTGAAATGTGTTTGTGAAATCAATTGAAGAGGGTGCCTTTCACAGTATAACTGCAAAGATAAAATCAGGACTGAAAGCAGATAGCTGTCCTTGATTTCTCTGGAAGCAGTAACAGAAAAGTATATTTCATGCATTTTGGCACTTCTGTTTCTTACTGCTATAAATATATATAGATTAACTAGCACCTCAAAATGCTCATATTCTTATTCCATTCAGGATCAGAGAAGAAACACCACAAGGTAATGAGCACAGTAAGTGGAGATGGAAGAAATTCTATTGTGCATGTAGATAAAATACAATTATTTAATGGCTATGGCCATAGCTTCAGAGCATAGATAGATCTAAAGTATAATTATCTGCTCACTTTAACAGATGCGTTAATGACAGGAATGGAATTCTGTACTTTTTTATGCCTTTCAGTTACAAGCAATATAAAACAATTTTTTTTTTTTTTAACAGCAGGAGGAAAAGCATTATCTTATTTATTTTTCACAAGAGAAAGATGTCTTTTTCAAGATAAGTAATGGTTTCAGTCACTTCCACCTATGGGTACTTTTCTTTCAAGATATGAAAGAGAAAAGCTTGGGGAAGCACCTGGGAAATAGCAGTATCTGAAGTATTGTAAGTAGGGCACACCACACCATGAGTCATTTCTCACAATCTCTCCAGAAGCAGTGAAGGTGACAAGACAGTGTCATGTGGGAAGTGTTTTGTTACAAACAGGAGAACTGCTCTGTGTATAAAACAAGAGTATAATCCAACACTGAAAACCAAAGGGCATATATCAGTAACTGTCATATTTTAACAGCTGTCTGAAGTACCAGATGACTTTTGCTGCATATATTGTCATCTCCTGATAAGAAAGGGAGATATCAACATACAAAAGTAATGAAGCAGTGACACCATGATTTAAAAATACTTTAATAGCGCAACATGGAATTCAAGATCTACCCAACCAACAGAAAATGCATCATTTTCCTTTCTTAAATTTGGCAGGTATGAATGTAAAACTTGCCTTTTTTATCTCTACTATCTTATCCACACATAAGCCTTGCCTTCCAGTACAGGCTGTTTTAACAGGATTAGTTATTGAAGTCAACAGGAAATAAATCACTGTTTCTAAGATTATTTTTTCTTTTTGGTCTTAGTACATCAAGTTAAAACTTTCTTAAACAAAAAAAAAAGAAATCAAGATACAACTAGTCAATAACCATATTAACCCATGTTAGGCATTTCTTCCCCTGTAAATCAGAAAAAAACACTTTTAAAATATAAAACACATTAGACAATATTATTTTTAGATTAATACTTTTTAGACATTAGTCAGGTACTGCTTTCGTTTTAGTTTACAGGCTATCACTCAACTTTGCCCCACTTAATGTATAACTGAAGGCCAATTCCACCCTGTCACTGCTGTGAGCGCAGAGTCATTCTAGTGAAATCACTCCATGCCAAAACATGAGCAAAACAAAAACCAACCCTTTGTGCATTTATATTTCTTCCCATTTTGTGTACAAATAATTTTGTCAGAACTGGGTACATCTAAAAATTTTTACAATTGACTATTGATTATTTTATACTGTGTAGTGCCCAGTGCCCCTGGGGATCTATATGATGGAATTTCCTACATGCATCTGCTGGATATTACCATTTGGCTAATTAGCCATTCCTTAACAGAAGGGAAATCATTATTCCAACCTTTTTTTTTTTTTGCAGTTCACAAAACCATACAGACATGTCTATGCTGCATGGGCACATCGATCCCCATTACGTGCACAATGTGAGATTGATTAGTTGTATAAAAACCTGTTTCTGCCTAATGATGCTTTTGCATATTGCAAATTGCAGCAAGTCTGTTTTTTTATAGCTTTGCAAAGGCAATTTTACCTCCTCTTTCTCTCTTCTTAACCTTTTCCCCCAAGATACCACTTAACTTTTTTTTTCTAATTAAATTGCTACACTTTGTGTCTACATATAAGTTTTATCATTTTGCCTCCGTTTCAAAATCATGACCTGCACTAGCTGTATGCCTCTGAAACAATGAAACTGCCAACAACAGGGCAAAAATGTGGCATTTAGCCCACGAAATTTGGAAGCTGCCCCCAAAAGAGATCATATTGATTATGGACATCTGTGTCTTCAAAGTGAAATGCAAAATCCACTTCTCTGCTCAGTAACGCTACATTTATAGACAAACATGCATCATATAAAACAAACATTGCCTTGCTCCCATTTAGTAGAGGAAGAAGAAGGATCCTTCTGTGCCCATTTTATTTTTGGGAAGCAACTGGACTCTACAGCAGAGAGACGCTCTATATAAAGATCTAGAAATGTGGAGATTTTCCAAGACTCTGAGCACACTGTGCACTGCCAGTGTGGTAAATGAGGCAGTTTCTACTATTAATGCCTTGCAATTCTAGCCACATATTCAACTGAGCCCCCACCTGAAATCTGCCGATGAAAGCAGCTTTAGCTCGCACACAGCAGTGACAGGGAATGAAGATACACATCAGGCTGATGAGCACTAAGAAGTAAATTGTTTGCCCAGATGGAAATCAATAGCTCTCTTCACTCTCTTCATTCTTTGGCAAGACTGGGAGCTTTGAATGGCAATTAAAGCTTACCCAGCTGCCAAGTGTCCTAATTACACATACAAGAAATCACACATTTCTCCTTCTACCTGAAACATCCCTTGCGTCACATTCATTAAGCTCATTACAGTCAGGCCTCCTGCTGTTGCTGGAACTCAGGTATTTTTCTTAACACACCACCCCGAACACTTGCTGGCACCTGGCTCCACCAGTGAGTGATCCTCCCAATGCCTCATGGATGCTCCACAATGGCCACCAGCCCCTGTGCCACACAGGGATTTTCACAAGACCCTTCCAAGTAGCATCTCCCCTCTCCCTCTTCCACCTCCCACTGAATTTTTCTGCCCACCCTGCCCTGCACATGGCATTTTCCATTAATTATTGCCTCCTGCTACCGGTTCTTCAGCCACTTGTTTCTTTTACTCGCAATAAACTTCCCCACATCCTCTCCAGCCATGGGAAATGAAACCCTATCTTCAATGTATTTTGTCAATACAGTGTTCATCCATCCATCCTTTGTGAACTGAAGCAGGCCTGGGTTCTAAGAGGAAAGAACAGATTTTACTTCCCTTGTAAGGGACAATATAGCAAAAATTTATCAGAAAGCTTCATAATCTCCTTAATGTTACTGGCACATTTTTGGTGCAGCATAAAGAAGAGTAACTAATGGACAGCAGACCTTGAGCAGTGCAAACAGTTTCCGGGTACAACTCCTAATTGTCCTTGACCAAAATATGTGTTTTTTTTTCAGAAGCCTTTAATAATTCAGGTCTGAATATAATGCAATTAGTGAAGCCGTGCAAAGTATAGTGAAGAAAAAAGCCACTAAAAGCTCAGGCCTCTTATTTTATCATCATGATTATCACTTTATTATGAATTAAATTGGGAAAACCCATTAAGAACCCGTGGATCCAAGAGCAAGGCCTCCAAAAGACAAAGGTAAAATAGCATCCTACTTAGCCTGAAAGCTCAAGACCACAATGCCCAAATATTGTGCTGTATAAATCACCTTCTGCTTGCACAAAATAGTTAGATTATCTTAATCAAGCCACAAGATAAGCTGAACAGCCTCCATCTATATTCACCAATGAACAAATAGGCTAAGGGAGAAAAGAAAGGGTAAGACAGAATCCATCATTCCACTTGAGTCATCCATAACCTTTCAATTTACACATGAACTTCTAAGGAGGAGGAAGGTTAAAAAGAATATTATGAAAATTGAAGAGTATTAGCTTGTGTTATGCTCTTTTTTTTTCCCTGTCTCTTTAATAGCACTTTGATTCTTATTTATCCTCAGCCCCTGCTGCACTGCTCTGGAAGGGCAGAGAGGCCTTAAAGGCAGGTATAAATGAATTTACAGGGCCAGAGAAGCAGAAGGGCACCTTAGAGCTACTGAAAATGATCACTGTCATCAAAGAAAGAGAAGTTATTGAACAGCTGGTACTACTGTTGATGCAAGAAATAGTTAAACATTTCTCTTCATCTAGATGCAGTATAGTTCACCAACAAATGCCATATATGTTCTTCTTTTGATACAAATAATTCATATGCACATAGACTACCACAAATAAAGCCTGATGTGAATCTTCCTTACAGGTGAAAAAGACCATCTGTCCTTCATCAACCAGGCACAAAAGGGATGCCTTGCTATCTTATAAAAGCTGCCAGTCAATTCTAGGTGTGGGATCATCTATCACAATAGGCAATGTGCCATCTCCCACACTGGTGAAGCGCTCTGTAATTTGCTGCGCTGTGAACATGGTTTGTAATTATATTTGATTGGGCCACGGCACATAAATTACACAGTTTTTACATTTAGCTGCTACCACAGATTCTTGCCTAGCATTACCTCCTAGGAGCTTTTAGTAGGGATAAAGAGGGGGGAAAAAGAGATATAGTCTGATCTTTTAAAGAGACTATTTTTAAAAAAGAGGTTTAGGGGGAAAAATTAACAATATCTATGTGGGGGTATTATTATTATTACTACTATTACTACTGCTACCACTATTACTTTGTTGTCAGTTCAGCTGGGCAACATCCCAATAGGACTAGCAAGAGAAGAAAAACTACACCATTGAACATTTTTTTCTGGCAGCATATCTCTAGGTATGTTAGAATAAGACCAGTTTTCTTCTCCTGTTTGCAATGATTTGTAAGCACAGCTGTCAGGCAATATTCTGGTCTGGAAACCAGATCCATAGAAACAGTAGCCTATAACCTGCTATGTACATGTTGGGTGCGATACTTGGTCATACTTGCTGTCTATTGTGACAGATACTCACCAGGACACAAAGCAAAAAGCCCCCTCCTGCAGAGACCTCAAGGATGGAATTTGAGGAGACAGATCCTAATCATAGCACAGGAGTACATACCCTGTGATTCCCCGGGGTTTACTGTCATTGAGGAACCGGCGGCTGAAATGGCAACGCAGCAAGACCATCCTCAAACACTGATCCCAGGGAAAAGCTGAATGATGGAAGATTTGCAACTATTTAATCCATTTTGGCCTGGAAAGAATTTTAGAAGAATGAGAAGCTTGAATCAAAACTTGAGTAAGCCTAAGGCTATCCTGACATGTTTGTGAACTAAATTCCCTCGCGACACTTCTCTATTATTTCAGTTCTTGGATCATCATTCTTTGCATGCTGGGACCGACAATGCCTTTTATTGTAGCCTGCCCTATTTTCCTCCTGCACACAAAGGGAAAGGTCCCTTGGTGAATGCCAGGGGCAAATACTACTTTCTCAAAACGTTACATGGGAGAGCTATGCTTTGGCTTTTGTTGGCATACTGTAATCTTCAGCCACACTGAGAGTAGGCTGAGTCATTCATAAATATGGCCTTTGGACTTTAAAGGTCAGCTGTGAAAAAAAAAATGTTAACACAGAACCATCCTGGCAAATCCAAACATATCACAAATAACCCACCATGGTAAACACTCCACCCATAACTGCATAATTGCAGACTGCTACTCCACAGGCTACAACGAGCAGCACCAAAACAGGAAAAGGTGGTGGAGATAAGGTGGTCTTGGAAAGGTTTAGGAAAATCTGTGATGTTTTTCACATACCATAGCTCAGTGAAAGAGTTTACAGAAATGCCTGACAAATGATTGGAAGAATAGGTTGACTTCTGCAACAGGAGGTAAGCTTAGGAAAGAAGCAGCAACATGCAAAGGATCAGCTTGTGAATGAGAAGCCTTGCAGTGAAACCACAAGAGCCAGCTGTGAATAAGAGAATAACATTTGAGACATAGAAAAGAAACACAAACTATTTTCCAAAGATAATGAAGAATTCAAAGTCTTTCTGGGGCTTAAGGGTATTTAAATGTAAATGAGCTTCCCATACCCAACCCAAAATCCAGAGCTACTTAGAAACTGTTGTGCTATTTTCTGTTGAGTAATCATAACTTTTAAGAACCCAGTGCAGTCTAACACAGAGCTGTGAGTATGGTGTCTGGGTGTGCAGGGGATTGTCTCCCATTAAAGAGTGTGGATGTCTACTCTAAATGATATAGCACCTTCACAGCTGGGTTTTGTGTGCATCTTAGTTGAGAACAGCTCCCTTGTACATGTACCTGAACTCCAGCATTCACTGTGAACTTGTTATTTTTATGAAAGTAAAATTAGAAAAAGTTAGAAATACATAGAAAGAGTGTCATGGGGTTGTGCTGAATGAGAGCCATAACAGATTTTAAACTTTATGACTGGAGTTGGAGCTGATGAAAGGCTAAAGGTTGACAGGCAGAAACCAAAGTCCACTCAGCTGACACACGCAGTAGTGGAGAGAAATTGTCTCCAGCCTTTCGAGTGAGAGCAGGAAGGCAATGCTGAGCTGTGCAGAGCACTCATGTGCAACGAATGGATCCTCATGTTCCTCCTAACTCCCTTCCTCCTGCTTTGCCCATGTCAGCAGCCTCCCCACCTCTTCCTCCAATCAAGCACTCAAAGCTGGATAACTTTCAGTTCCTTCATTTCCTTACCCCTTTGTCCTCCCAGAATACATCTAGGCTCCAATATTTCTTTCTCTACAACTCTAAGAAGTCTAGGCTGACCTGGTCATGCATGGTGTCCCTTCTGTCACTCTGGCACACAGCCACCCCACCTCACTGCCTTAAAATGTTGCTTTGAAGTTGACCAATTCTGGGATCCCTCAAAACCGTAGCTCCTTATGCTCCTTCATCAGATTTGGGTTTCTTGCAGCAAGCCAGGGGGAACCATCCTAGGTCTCTCTGGCCTAGGTATAAACGTTTTTACCATCTGCAGATCTACTCTATTCTCCTCCTTTGAAAACCCAGCCCTGGTCTCATCAGACTCTAATACCATCTCTAACACACACATCCCTGGTGCTCCTTTCAGGCTCAGCCAGACCGATTTTTTTATACCTTTCCTATGCACCACCTCTCCATAAGGAAATGTTTTGCTAATTCCGCTCAGTTTACCACATCTTGTCTTTTAAATCCCTCATCAAACTCATTCTCGCCAGCCTGCTTACAATGAAAACAAAGTAATGCCCTGTTGTTTGCTTTAGCTTCTCAAGAAATTATGTCACACTGCAAGGGATCTTAACCCATCTCCTGGGCACATGCAGGCAGGGCTGCCAGAGGAGATGGCTGGGGCAACAGGACAGGTTCCTGCACATATGGAAAGCCTGAGGAGGAGCTAAACACCTTCCCCCATCTGCCCTGCTCAGATGATGGCCACCACGGTCCCCAGCCAGAGACAGTGCCCAGACCCCAGAGCTGCTGCCTGTGGTCTGGCCCCTGCTCTCCATCCCCTCTTCTGCCAGAAACAATCAGCTGTTAGCCTTGATTAAATTTGGATTATCAAGCAATCTGTCCAGGAAACTTGTGCCATCTCCAATAAGAGAATTTCCCTTAAAGCAGATTTCTGGGCACCGCCAGTTTACCAAAGGTAAGGCCATTTCTTTTTCCAAGTGGTATGAAAATGAGTGGATTTAGCAATATTTGTTTCTGGCATTTGATAAATATTTACTTGCACCAATTAGGAACGATACTATTCCTATGCCCAGTTAACTCTGCAGAGCGTGATTAGCATATGTATCATTTTAGCTGACTGACTCTTGGACCAATATAAAGAGCCAAAGCTCAAAGCCTTCACGTGAACATACGAAGATGGAAATTAAAACAAGAAATTATACACATTTTAAAATATTTGGGCTACTGAATTTCTCTTGCAGATATCTAAATACCAAAATGCCTCGCACCATACTGCTAACCTGTTTCTACACCCAAAAATGCACCAGAGCTATTGTCATGATTTCCACATTTGAGAGCTTGTTAAAGTTTGCCCTTGTAACTTCTGCAGATTATAAAAAGGCCTATCCCTGTGAAATATGTATTCCATTTGTATTTAAAGTCGTTTTTGGAAACTAGACCTGGACTTATTGTATACAGAAGAGTGCAAAGGCTTATGGCTGACGTTTTCCTAAGCTTCAAATTGTATTCCAATGAGCTAAGATCTTACTTTAACTTGCTTATAAGGATTTCTTTGCGATGTGGCTGTAATGTGTTATTCTATTTGGAGTTAATGTCTTGCAAAACAAGGTATCATCAAAGACAGCAATTACACAGCCTGTTTCCTCCTCTGGTACCAGAGCAGCAGTGAGGAGCTGTGCTGGTGATGCCTGAGTGTGTTTATGAGATAAATTGTCATCAGGAGAGAAAATGGGGGAAGAAATATCAGCAGAAGAAGATGAGTGAGGCAGTGCAGGAAGAGTGCTCAGCATCCATCCACATAAGCCACACCATCGGGTAGCTCTGGCTGGAATACTGCAAGACATGTATGGCCTCAGTAATGAGGAATAAGACGAGCATCCCCACCAGGCAATAAATGAGCTGAAAATGAATAACAAGCGCTGAATACATGCTGTAAAGCTAAGCAGAGATGTACTGATACTATTAGACATCCAGTCTAGGCAAGCTGATTCAGACTAGAAACTCTTCTGGAAGCATAGGTCTTTGTATTTTAATGCACCAAAGGAAAACTCTGATCTGGGCAATCACCTAAGAGCATATGCTGGCATCTTCAAATTTCAAAGTTGCAAAGCAAGGGTGGTAGCCCAAGGACATGTCATTCCCCACAGAGGAAAACTGATCTTAGGGAAAGCAGATCACCTTTCTGCCTTGAGCCTACACAGCCTGGTGCTGAACCAAGGGGAATTTTCCTAGGAAAGAACTGAGCAGGAAGGTGAGGTTAAAATAACCAGCAGAAGCAAAACTGCGGGGACAGGATTGGTATGTTTCAGATGCCATCAGGAGAAGCAGGTTAGGGCTAGGTACCTTCTCAAGCATTAATAACCCTGCAAGAATCTGACCTGAAACACAGGGTTCAGCACTGCTCTAATGCATTTTCTGTGTGTCTGGGTCTAGGCAAGAAAGAAGTCAAATCCACTTCTGCAACACAGCAAGGGTCTTCAGCTGGGACAGCTTTCCCACCCCTCCTGCCCAGTGCCCAGGCAGTCACCTCACAGCTCAGCACACGCAGGTACAAGATGGAACTTGTTTTTTAAAGTCAGATGTCAAAAGGACACCTTTTATTTTTTCCTCCCAAAATGGAAAACTCCATGTGTTAGAATCAAATAATTGAAAAGTTACTAAAACAAGAGAGTAACAGTTAATCCTGCCCAAAGGGTAGATATAAATTCTCCCTGGAAAGGCTACTGCATGTGGGATTATATACAGTGGTTAACCAAATATTCAAGGGACATTAGTAATTACCATAACATCCCACCACTTACTCTGTCAAATGCACAATTTATGCAACAAGCCCACAACTTCAGAAGGATTTTGTTTACTTTAAAAATAGTTGGAAATACATTTCCAACCCACAGGGTTTTTTTCCCCAATACCTTCCTGTACCCACCTCAAAAAAATGCCTGAAAGGCTTCTAGGTGTTTTGTGCAAACACCTTCTTTTACAGTGATTTTTCCCTTCAGCTGTTCATTTCCAACACACGGTATGCCAGAGCACACAGCTCCCTCATTTCCCTGCTCTCCTCGCAGAGGTGCTGGACACCAGCATGAGATGGCTGCTCCCAGTGCCCATTCCCAGCTCCAGAGCCCTCCTGATGCCCTATCAGCTTTCACACTTAGGATGGAAGAGCATCATAGAGAAGGCTGCTGCACAGAGATCAACCTTTATGCTGCAGTTTCTAAACATTTAAGTTTTATTAAAAGCACACTTCTGGAAGCAGAAATACACCTCTGGGAGCTATAGATGGGTGTCAGAGGCAACCAGCTCCCATCACTCTGCTACACCAGCACCATCACTCTAAGCACCAGAGGCGTGCTGGGATATGGGAGAGAGTTCAGGCTTCTCTTAGCTGCTTTGTAGTTTCCACTGGGAGCCTGTAGCTGTCAGTGGGAAACCTCCCAGCCCTTATCATTCCAGGCTGCACAGAGTCAGGAAACTAAAATTAAGAGCAGCCTGGCTTCAGTCACTGCACTCCTTCATCTCCTGGCCCTAATGCTGCACTGAGCCACAGCTTCTGCAGTGCTTTGTCAGCCAGGCAAGTGGCCTGCCTAGACTTGTTGTAACCTGTAGCCCCATCATAGAACGGTTTGGATTGGAAGAGACCTTAAAGATCATCTCAGTAACATGTCAAACCATTAATTGAAAGGTTTGGTCATTAAATCAGGTACGTATTTTGGTAACTTTCTTCTTTCTTACCTACACTCTGGGAGTACCAAATGCTTTTACGGACAAGGGATCAGGATGAACCCCTAATAATGCCATGCTTTTATAGCAGAACTTCAGTTTATGATGGGATTTATTTAAGACTGTGGAACATTTATAGTTAAATGGAATTGAGCAATAGGATAAAAATAAACTTTGTAAGTTCAGCTTATGCTATTAACTGACTCAGTACTGGTAACCAAGAAAAAAGTAGTGTTTGGTAATAAAATTTTCCCTCATCAGTATAGCTTAATAAACACACTGAGCTGAACTTGACTGGTCTGAGCTCATGCTCACTGCCTTCACCTGGACTTTGAATGCGGCTCACAATCCCTGCCTTTCCCCGGTGCAGGCACGGAGCTAGCTTCTCTTTGAAGCATGGATCACTGGCAGGAATGGACCTTGGCAGCACAGAAGGCAGCTACTATGCCCATCCCCTGTCTGGTCCCTGGGCATGGTGGCACCTGCAGAGCTCTCCTGGGCACCCCAGTTCCACCTCTCTTCCCACTTAGTTCCCTTCTGGCCTCGCTGGCTTTGCGGCTGAGCCATTACTAAGCCTTACAAGGTTATTCTAAAAACCCAGTCTCACAGAGATGTGGGAACTGAAAACCCCACTTTACTCATATTTGTCTTCCCTTGGCTGTGTGCATGCCAAAGGGCTATCATCTTCCTTCCCAGCTGAAATAGAAATTCAGTAATGCATACTTGGGGAGTTCTGTCACTGCAGCAATCATTTAGTAGTGACAAATAAGCCAGGGTATAAAACAAACAGATGGAAAATGGTCATCCCCATCCATGGACACCTGCTCTGGGATGCAGTCTGTAATGATCTATATACAATTCAGAGACAAAATTACTTTACCACATGTTGGAGAGTATCTGTTCAGATCTGGGAATGAGTTACAGGAAAGACATAATGGGTACCAAAAATGGCATCAAATCAACAATCTAAAAAGTACCTAGTTGTAGTTTTGAAAATAACATATTATCTCATTCATAAAAAAGCTCTTGAGTTGAGAAACAAAATAAGGGTAAAAATATCCCTTAAAGAAGACTAATACGAGCCCCAGCACTCTTCACCCCCAGGGATGAGTCACTGACACCACAAGCTTCCAGGGCTTATTCAAATGTGGGTTATGGAACCTGAATTTGTTCAAAAGAGGCATCCCTCTGAATAGGAGTAAGGTGGAGTCTTCCTTGCATTTATTTTCCAGGCTCAGAACTTAATGCATTTAAACAGAAGCTTAGAATTGAAAAGATTTTTAAGGCTTCTGAAGCACATATTAATTTGAAAACCTGCATGCTCAATACTTCCAAAAGGCAAGGCCAATCTGATTGTATGCCTAAACAAGATTTTAGGAGCATAATAATATTGGCAAGCATTCCAGTCTTAGTGTGGTTTACAGTAAAAAGAGAACTACCTTTGCAAGGAGATCTTGCATCTGTTCCCTCATCAAAATTAGCCTTTTTATTTCTTTTTTATCCCAAGAAAGAGCAAAATGATGTAAAGAAAACATGCCTCTGTTCAGCAGCACCTTCCCAGCAAAAGTTTCCAGTCTCCACATCATTCTGCCAGGATGCATTTTGATTCCTGCGTCTCAAAATGCAGATAGCCAAAGCACTCTTATGTAGGAATGATGCAGCCTCATGCTATGATGTCACTACCTGGTAAAATTTCAGCTGTTTCAGTACATAAGTAGTTTTATGACTGGGATTGTTGATCTTTATTTGTAGGAAGGCCAGATTTAGGTTTCCATAAACTGAATAGAAAGGATTCTTTCCCTACTCTACCCCTCTCCTCTTGAGTTTAAGGGGAAGCAGAATAGGTGCTAAATATACGTTCATTCATAACTTTGTCTTTCTGAGTGGACATAAGTATGTTAAAACAGCTCACTAGCTTTCCCCCTCAGAATAGAAAAAGCCTAAGTAGATGACAAAATGTGACAATTAACTTACAACTTTTGAACAAATGGAACAGATATTATTGCAGTTTTGGACTTTGAATGGAATCCTTGATTTCCGACAATGTGTTTGGAACAATTTAATAATGGGAAGGAAACAAAAGCAGATGTAAACATGGAAAGAAAATTGAAAGCAAGTGTGCTGAATTTTGGTGGCAATTACATAAAACAAGTGTCACACAATACATATAAAAGCCTTACAGCAGGCTTTAACATCAGTTATAAACCATCATTCCAAAAATAACTTTCCTGACAAAAAAAACCCAACATATCCACAGGAGGAACAGAAGACTGTTATATAAAGGGAATCACGGTCAAAAAAGAAGGTCCAAGAACAGTGCTCTATTCACAAACCCTGAATACTTCACCTCTTTCATGGAAAAATACAGGGCAAGTATAAGGCTTTCTTGCTTCATGTGGTTACAACTATAAATACATCTTCTGCTGACCTGCAGGTATTTACTGATGCCAGGGAGATGAAAGATGAATTCTTGCCAGCATTTTGCTCCTGTTTTTGATAACTGGTACATGTCCATGGCCCTTAGCCACAGCATGGTTCAAAAATTACTCTGGGACTCTTACCAATGATGGTGGCTATTTTTATAATCCACTTGTCTAGATCTGTGGGATTTTCCCCATTAGATAATTGCTATTTTAAGATTAACTGGTCAGCCAACACAAAGATGTTGAGATGAGATCCAAACTTCGCACTGTTTGCATCACCACCTTGAGTCAGTAATCGGTAATGCTGTAAAACAACTCATTTTAGCCTCCTGAGGCAAAATTAGCCAAACCACCACCATGAACAGACCTGGCCCAAATTGAAAAACCATTCAGTGTGTTCCAGATGCTGCCCACTGCTATTTGGCAGGGAAAGCTAGTTAACCCTGTATCAAGATGCAGGCAACACTGCTTCTAACTCACTGTATCAACCACAGGGTCATTGGGAGCTTGGAAGCATACCAAGACTTACCTTTGCTTGCAAAGAGTGCCACAACAGACGGACATCCCTGCTGCTGCTGGCTATGACTCCAGCTTTGAGCAATGCAGATTGTGAAAGAGTTTGGCTGGATGTGAAATAGATTGTTATTTTTCTTCCTGCACAGAAAGGAATGGATTCAGCATGTGCCAGATTTGCCACTTTAGGGTTTTTTTTTGACAGCTTGCAGCCCATTGTTTATCAAATGGCACCCTGAACCTTCTGCATCGTGTTTTCTTTGACTTAAATACTTCTCTTAAACCAACACACTGTGTACAATGGCAAACAAAAAAATGCATTTTAAGAAGTGGGACTTCTGTGGAAATAAATTTTACCACTTCCCGCACATATTACATGCTAATTTGCCTAATGAAATTAAACACTCGCATGTAATTCTGCTGCTCTGTACTCCAGATGAACTCAGAGCCTCCTTTCAGTGTGACAGCTGATTACAAACATGTTGCAATCACCTCACCTTCTCACCTTGTTTTTTGAGAGAGATGTTATATTCCTTTGTCCATTTGCCTTCTGACCTTTCCTGTTTCCTCCAGCTGGAGCAAAACTGTTCCTAAAAATTCCCGTGTCACCCTCCCCATGGGGGGGTTTTGGGGCAAGCAGATGTGGCTGAGGCAGATGAGCAGTGTCCCTGCCCACCCCTGGGTGATCCTCTACCCCATATGTTCTGCGCCATCACCGAGCAAGGGACCTGCCAGCAGCTCACCGGACACAAGAAGGTTTTGGCTGGACTCCAGCACACTCCAGGATGGCAACTCCTACAATTTGTTAATAGCTTGAATACTTTGGAGAATTATTATCACTGCTTCAAATCAATCCTCCCTGCTGCACCGCTGCTGCGGCTATCAGAACCCATCTCATCAGTCCTCTCTGGCAAAGCCAGTTTAGTTTTTGCCCTTGAACAAGGGAAGCAAACAAGAAACTCCATGTGCAGGCTATAGAGGTGTCAGGAGAGCTGTGCAAGAGCCTGGCAAGGGCAGGCAGTTACACAACACCCTACCAGCACCACCACACTGCTGCCTTCTGCGCATCCCGCTCATCCCCCTCCACTCAAACCCATCTGCAAAGAGAAACAAATCAACCCCTAAAATCCCTCCATGTGAACTCTCAGACTATCCCAGGGGTTTTCAGATAGCTGCAGCCTTCCCAGGCTAACAGCTTTGCTGTAAAGGATTAATGCACCAAAGGGCTCAAATATTAATGAACATCACAGAATGAGGCCAGGAGACACGCAGAGGCTGCTAGGGCTGTTACACTCATTTAGCATTTTTAAACAGCACCATCTCCTCCTAAAGACAACATTCAGGTTAAAAAAACCCAAACAACAACAAACCACCCCCAAACAAAACCAATATTCTTTGGAACTTACAATTTTCTGTAGAGACCATTTCTTCAGGCAGCCAGGTGATCTGTACTTGCAGAAGGTCTGCAGTGCTTCTGCATTGTTGGTTATTTTAAGCACACTTCAGTTGTAAATAAGACCTCCGGTGACTAAAATGGCGTGGGATCAATGTGTAAAGCTCTTTCAGGCTGTTTTTGAGAACATCTGAGAAAGACTGTTTCGCTTTTTCCTCTGCACAGTCAAGTTTCCTCTGCTTCTGTGTACAGCAACAGAGCAGAGAAAACACTGGGAAGATGCTGGAAAATATGATAGTAAAACTGCAAACACTGACAGGTGGACTCAGAGGAGGCAAACTGCTCCATATTCTGTTTTTAATGGACTAGAGTTGATATCGAAGTGCTGCCTTCCCCTCCCATCTAAGAAGGAGCCTATTTATAGAGCCAGGAGGAAAGGATGAGGGGCAGAAGCAAAGAATGTGGTTGGCATTTCACTTTAGTTCCTCCAAGCTGTGTGGATTCACTCCAGTCACCCCTGCCTGCCTGCCTCCCAAACCCTCCCAGCCCCAGGAAGCACAGGGACCCCTCCCGCAAGCAGGGAAAAGCTGCTCAGCCACAGGATTCACATGGGTTCATCCCCAGGAGCAGCTCAAATGCTCTTTCCAGATGTGACCTTTCTGGGCTGCAGCTGGCCACTGAGCTGTCCATTTCAGCTGGGCACAGCACCCAAACCACAGCTTGGAGGCCTGCCAGAGAGGACGGCTTGGGCAGCACCAGGAAGGGTGTCAGTAGCACCTCCCCAGCACTAACCCGTCTTTGGGGAAGACACTGTGTTTATGGGGACCAAGCCAGGCCTTACCCACAACCCTGCTGAGCTCACCATGCTGCTGGTGATTGTGCAGGGCCAGAGGCAAAAAGAGTATCCCAGTTTCTTGGTAGGAACATTTGAGGGCAATTTGAGAGAAACGTATCCCATTTGGAAAACTCTGTGTCACAGGGATGTTGTGATCCAGGGAGGGAAGATGGGAGGCGGAGGTGCAGCGTTACACAGGCAGGAGGAAAAGGCTTGGTAGTGCTTTAAGCTCCACAAGATCTGAGCTGCTGCATGTAACCGAATGGCATCTGCCAAGGATTCAGGTAATTTTTCCCTAGCGATGCTTTCAAAAGACTATTTTTCCTTTAAACCAGGGGTTGTTCCTCACAGCCTCTCCAAGCACTGCGTTACCATCTCCCATCATGTCCCTCGGAGCAGCGTGATGGATTGGCAGCAAACCCCACAACAGCAGGCCAGCCCCAAGGCAGCACTGACCCCAGGCAGCACCCCTGGTCCTCTCCCCTGGCCATCTCTGCTGCCTCTGCTCCCATTGTGAACGCAAACCCTCCCTCCAAAACACGAACATCCTCACCATTTCTTCTGCATCACAAACAGGCTGTAAATCTGCCAGCAAGGGAAAAGGAAAGGACATCCCTTTGGATCTCCTGCCCCATCCCCTCTTCTCTGGCAGCCAAAAGCAGAGCAGGGTCCATCCCTCACCTCCAGTGGCAAAGGTGCAGCAAGAGCTGACCCAGGGATGCTGGGAGGCATTGGGAATGTATCCGGCCACATCTCCATGCCCAGGCTGCACAGCCAACCTAACCAGGTGGAGTGTGGAGGAACAAGAGCTGTTCAGTGGTTTTAAGAGGGGAAATTATTTTCCTGCCAGACCATCCCAGGCTTCCAGCACTCACCGCACCGTCTGACCATGGGCTACATTTAAAACATGCTCTCTGGCTCTTTCTCACCAGGGAGAGGATATGAATAACAAGCTGGTACAGCCTTCTTATAATGCCACATTTTTCTAGTTAGCAAAATCTCTGGCAAAAACATGAAGATAAAGGTGGATTTCAGTGCTCGAGCACACTAGATGCAGGTTGGATGATGCTTGACAGCTGAACATCTCTTCCTCTACCAGCGCCCTGGCCTGTGGAGCACCTCCACCTTGGGGAGGTGGAAAGGCAGGGTGACTCAGGGAAGGCATCCACCCAGTTTCCAATAGCCCTTTGACCAAACCAAACGCTTGGAAGCACTGGTGGAGCCATAAGCAAGTTGTGGGCAGCGGAATTAATGAGACCTTGTTTCCTATGAATTTGTATCTTGCGGTTGGACTTTCCAGTGCCTGAAGACCGTATGAGCACCAAGGAGGCACTTTCTGCGGTCGGGGTGTTCAAAGCCTCTCCCTCTTCCTCCCCATCATGGATTCTTCCTCTGGCTTCTAACTGGAGCTGTGCTCAGGCCACCAGCTCTCCTAGGGCATCAGCGGGCTATCCTTCCTCCCCTCAGCTAGTCGCCTTCCTGGGCTCTGCCTCCAGTTTAATGTCTTGGAAACAAATACCTTCTTTTCATGGTTGGCTGGAATTGATCCAATGGACTCAGAAACACAGGGCAAACTAGCAGGCAAAAGTGACTAAAGAAAATGCATTTACTAAGAAAGCCAGCATAACAACGTTACAAAAACATTGTACTGTAAAGCAGGAGCCGCCCACAGTCTTGAGTCCAGCAGCCACAAATGAAAACTTCCTTAGGGCCAGGAGGCACTGGGAATGGGCATGGACCACACCTTCAAGGGCTGAGGACAGGGAGGAGGAAGGGAGCTGTGACAGGGGCTCCCGGTTACCTACCTGGCCATCAGCACCATTACCTTCCTGGGCTCCACAGCACCCCTGGAAAACCCAGCAGTGCAGCCCCTGCTCTCCCTCCTCCTGCTGTGGGTGAGGACCAGTGACTGCCTTGCCGCACTCACTGCAGCAACAGAGGGAGAGTGGGGAAAAGCCAGTAAACTCCTCTGCTTGGTAAGCACAGCTGGGCAGGAACACACTGAGTTTCCCACGTTGAAAGGGGATCTATTTTGCATATATATTTACCCTCAGTGACACTAATTATGTAGCAGTGGCAAGGAAAAACCTTTGTGACAAACACCACTTCACATGTGCCTTTCACAAGAGCAGGAAGAACAGATGTTTCTCCAAGAAGATATACAGTGGGACAAATGAAAAAAATCAAAAGCAAAAATGAAAGGCTGCCTATCTGGATTTACAGTGTTGGAGGTATCATACGCCCTAAAGCTATATATATTTTTAGGAAAGACCAAAAACAAAGGCAAGCAAGGCTCTAGTGAGCACAGGGCTCGCTACCGCAGGCAGTGGCAGAACTGCAGCAGCCACGGTGCAGCTTGGAGCACACCATCACAATGCCCCTTGTAGGAAACCAGTTGTCCCTCCTGCTGTTAGTGGCTGAAATAGAGCTGAAGGACAAGAAAGACACAGGTTTCCCATGTGCAGACAAGGCCCGAGATGGCAGTGAAGACAGCCACCAGCCTGCTGGGCTGAGGGAAGGGGGCTTGGACATCCCAGAGCAAAGGAAAACTCCTTGGACCCTCCAGGAGCAGCCCCCCGGCACCTCTGGGGTGGTTATCCAGAAGGCAGAGCCGGGCTGCTCACAGCAGCGTGCACAGGAGAGATGCTGGGCATAAACAGGAGTGAGAAGGGTTCAGACTGGGATCTGCATTCCAGCCTGAATTACCCAATGACCTTGTCTTTTCCCCAGGCCTTGGCTTCCAATGTGTAAAATGCAAAGGCACATGGAGACAGTGTTTCCTGGTGACAGCAGTTTCATAAGAACATATGCACCAAGACTGTACGGCACCAGAGACCACAGAGGTTTAAAAATAAATACCTTTTTAAGACAATGAAGAATAAATGCCCATCACATGAACAAGTGCAAAATTAGCTGGGAGCGTGTTGTCTGCAGGACAGGAATTCACTTTCCTGTTAAGCTGGTTTGCAGCAGAACTGACTGGTTGCAGTGTGTGATCCAACAGCACATCCCTTGCTGGAGGAGGCAAGCAGGACAGCAGGACACAGCCTCAGTCTGTATTTAGAGTTTAGCCCATGCATACCACACCTTCTCTCTTTGCCTGATAATCTGCTTCTCAAAATATTTTTCTTCCTAAAACTAACATGAAAATGAGAGCTGAAGAA